GATGAAAACCGCCCATCTGTCAAGCTCTCTTTCAAACAGATTCCTTCTCAACCCTAAATCCCAAGTCAAGGATTCTGTATTCCAGCAGTTTGCTACAGTGAACTCTTTCTTATTTGAAATAGCATATAAGTCAGGGAAAGAGACAGACAATGGACAAGAGTCTATCGAAGTGTCTTCCCAAAATCTTACCGCCGCCACCAAATTCACTTTGAAAGAGATGAATCTGCCAAAATCTGGGGAAAACTTTTGTACATCAATCCAAGGACGGCCTATTGAAGAGTTATTTGAAGACTTGGACCATCCAAGAGGCTCTTCCCGTAAATAGCAGCGATAACATTTCTCCAAAAACTATTTTTTTCGTTTGCAAACCGCCATAACCATTTCATTAAAAGGGCTTTGTTCTTGTGAGCTAAAGAACCGACTCCCAGTCCTGCCCTTTGTGAAGGTAACGCTGCCCAAGACCATTTTACAAGATTCCCAATCAGTCTATAATGACCTCCATTCCAAATAAAGTCCCGCATAAGTTTTTCCATAGCTTTAATCACAGATTTTGGTGCTCTCAGAATAAAAAAAAAAAACGTAGGGATACTATTCAGGACTGCTTGTGTAAGAGTAAGGCGTCCCCCTTTTGACAAGATCATAGAGTTCCATTTTTCCAATCTTTTGTGCATTTTTTCCACCACTGATTCCCAGAAGTTGTAAATCCTATGATTACCTCCAAGAGGAAAACCCAAATAAGTAAAGGGAAACGATTCTGTTTTGCATCCAAGGGTGTTTGCCCAGTGGTTAACTTCTGATTCGGCCCAGTGGTTAACTTCTGATTCGCTGCAATTCACCCCAATCACTGCCGATTTTGCTATATTTAACGAAAGGCCGACATGTGAAGGAAAATTTGGATAACTCCCCACCATTTTTCCATATTCTTCTGTGATAAAGCCATAAAGGGCTGAAGATTAAGACATCGTCAGCATACTGAAGGTGGGTTACTTCTATGGCATTTGAGTCTATAGAAAAACCTCTAAGAATTTGCCTCTCATTACAAAAGTGAATCAGGCGGCTTAGAGCGTCACCCACAATGGTGAAGAGGAAGGGAGAGAGGGGATCTCCTTGTCGAAGCCCTCTTTTGGCCAAAATCTTTCCTTTTGGACATCCGTTTATGATAACTGAAAAGTTTGTAGAATAAAGGCACCCATGTATCCACTGTCTCCATCTCATGCCGAAACCTTTAGCATGTAGGGCAGCGTCTAAGAAGGACCAGTCCACTTTATCGTAGGCCTTCTCAAAGTCCAGTTTTAAAAGGAGACCTTTCTTTTTTCCTTCCTCCAGTAGCTTACGACTTCAGAAGCCACTAGAATAGCATCGAGAATCTGACGCCCTTCTACAAAAGCTGCCTGAGCGTCATGGATTATGTGGGGGAGCACATTTTTTAACCTACTAGCTAGAACTTTTGCTATGATTTTGTAAAGAGATGTGACCAAGCTCATGGGACGAAAATCTTTGACTGAAGTAGGATGATTCTTTTTTGGGATAAGACAAATATAAGTTTCATTTGTTCTTCTGTTGACTACCCCCTTCTCAAAAAAGTCCTGGAACATTCTCTCCAAATCTGTCTTGAAAGTGTTCCAAGCTTTTTTCATGAACACATTACTCATCCCGTCTGGCCCCAAAGACTTGAGCGTTCCCAAATCTGTCACTGCCTTTTTGATTTCTTCTACTGTAAAGGGAGCCTCGAGCTGCTGTCTATGATCTTCATGTAAAGGGGACCAATCCAGATTCTCAATCATATAGCATCTAGCTGTTGTAGTGGTGTATAAGGCCTCAAAATAATTAAGGATTTCTTTCTCTATGTCTTCCCCAGAGGTAAGCGAGACTCCTTGATCAGAGATTATTTCTCTAATACAATTGCGGTTCTTCTTGTGTGAAGTCCACCGGTGAAAAAAGTGGGAATTTTCGTCCCCTTCCTCAAGCCATCTTAATTTCCCTTTCTCCTTAGCCGCTGTTCGTTTATTACAAGATCGGTAAGCTGGGCCTTCATTTTATTCCTTTTTTCAGTTTCCTCCGCTGTAAGAGACTGTAATTCTTCTTTCTTGTCTAGATCATTGATAGTTCTCACCACCTCTGTCTTTTGATTTCCAATGTGTCCGAAGACCTCCTTGTTCCATCTGATGAGGAATCCCTTAAGGCCTTTGAGTTTCTCCATGAAGCCATAACCAGGCCAGCCCCTCAGAGGGCAACCCTTCCACCAATTGTCTACCATGGGAAGCAATTGAGGAGAATCGAGCCAGGCGTTTTCAAAGCGAAAAGGGATAGGACCCCATTTAATTGTCTCAGATGCAAGCTGAATAGGGAAGTGGTCTGATGTTGTGCAGAAAAGCCCAGACGCTCGTTGATCTTCAAAAATAATCAGCCATTCTTTAGAGACAAGGAATCTGTCTAACCTGGAAAGAGTTGGTGAATCCCTCATGTTCGACCAAGTAAAAGAACCATTGTCCAAGGGAGGATCAGCCAGGTTCATGGCTTCAATGAGAGCATTGAACTCTTTCATACTCCGAGTTATACGCCCCTTATTCGTGCTCTGTTTTTCAGAAAGCCATCTGGCCACATTAAAATCTCCTCCTATACACCAAGCACTTTGACATCTATTTTGAAGACTGTCTAGCTCCCTCCAGTCTACCTCTAGAAGAAGAAGAAGGGCCGTAGACCCCTGTAAACCAGCCCTCCTTGCCATCGAAAAGACTAAACTGTAAAGTGATAGAGAAAGAGCCCATAAACAGATTTGAGATTTTAATCTTCTGTTCATTCCACAAGACTAGAATACCCCCTGCTGTGTTATCTGCATCTAGGGAAATCCAGCCCACATGTCTGGAACTCCAAAGAGATCTAACGAAGCTCCGATCGATAGAGCTTTTCTTTGTCTCCTGCGAGCAAATCAAATCCAAGTCAGATTTAAAAATAAGGGCCTTAACTAAGGCGCGTTTAGAGGTTGCGCCTAAGCCTCTCACATTCCAGGAGATGAACTTCATTTAGAAACAGATGGCCCAACTTCTAAACCCTGTTTATTATCTTGGCTTCATTCTCCCTGTAGCAAGCAGATTCCTAACCTCTCTACTCTCTGAGGGATTTGTCTTTCCTCCTGGTTTGCCTTTTTTAGGAATCGGTCTGATACAAAGATTGTTTTCCCATAACTCCATCACCATATCTTTTGTAAAAGAGAAGACTTTTGGAGGAGGGTACTCTTGATCCACTGTATTTTCTCCTTCCCTCAACTCTAGTATTTGGCAATCTAGAGGCTCCATCTCGGCTATCACGATTTCTGTTCCCTGTTCTTCAAAAATAATATGAGTCTCTTCTTCTGCCAAATGATCAAAACAGCTTTGGTAGCCCTCTGGAATCTCTGAGGAAGGATTCTCTAACAAAGGACTTTCTGGCCGTGGGAAATCCTCACTGGACCATGAGGATTCTGAAGAGACCTCTAACTGTATTCCTTTTTTCTTCTCATTTTCTGCAATTTCTTTTTCTCTTTCCTTCTTTCTTTTTTCCTGTCTTTCTTCTTCTGTAGTAAAAACTACCCGTTTTTTGAAATTTGGAGTCTTTTTGTCCTTTTCTAAAAACGACTTTTCTAGGGTTTTGAGCAAGGTTTGTGTCATTTGTAAATTTGCTCTTTTTAAGAAGCCCCCTTTTACGACAGGGACTTTTGTCTTTTGCGTGTAGGTTTCAACATTTCCTGAAGTGGGTTCTGAAATTCTGTACTCTTCAATGGGGCCCATTTGACGTCTTGCCATTTTAAACTCTCTCCCTTCATTTGTCCCTGTCAAAGGGTGACTCGAGGTTACAGGAGCTGTCGCCGTTAGGGAAATGCCTGTGGTTGTCCTTGTTTGTCTCAGAGCTGCCGTATCAAACTCTAAACGGGAAAAAGCTTTGACTGTTGGGTAAAAGAAGCCGTCCTCTATCCTCCAAAGATCCACTGGACAAAGATCTGTCCTTCCCTCCGAACCTCCATGGAAACGTGAAGCTGCTTCCGGCGAAAAACTTTTGTGGACTTTAGCTTCTTTACCAATAAACAGCTTCACATCCTCGAAGGTCGCCACTTGAGCTATGAAAGTGGTGTATGTGTCTTGAATCTTGATCCCCGCCGGAATGAAACCGCAGTAGTTTCCTATAACTCTAATAGCTATGTCCATACATTCTATTCTCGCCGCGTTCTCGTCTGCAAAATCAATAAAACCTCTGAAGATGTCACCTATCTTGCGGAAAAGATCCTCGCTCCATAAGCGCAACGGAACGTTTCTGAGCTTCAGCCATCCTCCATAAAAAGGAACCACAGTGTTAAATCCGTGTCTTTCTTTATTCCATTTTTCCACTTTCAAAGTGAAAGCGCCGAATGTAACCCAGCCTCTATTCATGCTAAGGAGCCGAGCTAAATCTTCGTCTGGGCATTTAAGGATAGCCTTATCCAGTTGGAAAGCATTGAGAATAAGCTTTTTCTGAAGTTGACTCTCTAGCGTAGTTAGAATATTCCCCCAGTCGTCGTGGAAGTCTCTCCTGGTGATAACAAGAGTCTGGTTCCTATCTACCGGCCTAATTTCTTTTTTCTGAATTTGTACCTCTACTTTCTTACGTGTAGGCGAAGAGCTCTTTAGAGCAGCTGCATAGGATTTGTCCACCGATGTTCTGGTATAGTTCTTTGCAGAACCTGATGATTCAAAACCATTAAGGAAGTCTAGAAGAAGTTGCTTAAAAGAATTCCAACCTTTGTAGTCCTCGCCGGCCGGAACTACAATGTTTGTCTTCCCACCTGAGTTTTGCACCTTGGTTAACTCGATGAAGCTCCCACGCTTGTTTGTGGTTTTTAGAATCCAAACAAAACCATTCTCACAAGGTGTTTTCCGGAAGAATTTTTGAGTTTGGGGTGAAAGGAGAAGGTCTGTGACCATATCTGTCACCCATACTATAATCACCTCTTCGAAAGAAATAGTAAACCTCCTTTGTAGATGTTGTTCTTCAATCTGGACGACTCTCCCCTTACACCTTGGGTCGAAAGTGCAAGCGAAAGATTTGTTTTCAATCTTAGTGGTTAGTCTCCGTGAAGCCATGATGGAGAAAACGGGAGCCTGGCGAGGAGGTCAGGTGAGACATCTTTCAGAAGAATGGTAGGGAGGAAGAGAGAGAACGGAGAGAGCGGGTATAGCCATTTGAAGATCTATATAAAATTGTAAGAAGGATTGTTTTTACTTTCATTAATATGGGTGTATTGAGTGAAGAATTGAAATTTTTGCGTTCTAAGGGTTAGGTTGTTGTTTCTACAATATCAATGGCTTTAGAACAGAATGATTTCACTTGTGGCAATAATTTATGCTACTTAAATTACTGTTTCATGAATCAATGTATATAGTTTTGTTGTCTTGAGAGGTTGCCTCTAAAGTGTCAAATAGTGTGTAGTTTCCCCAAAAGTGGTTGAGGATGTAGGCCATTGATATATTGGTGTATTGCCAAATCATTTATCTTTTTCAATGTTTTAGGATATTATGGACTTAGCAAAACAATAAAGCATTACCAAGGAGCCCATGGGTGATGGTCCTCATGCATATTTTTCTCTCTTTTCTTTGGCCGGCTAGAATTATATTTTTGGAGGGATTTGTTTCGTGAGAAATAGACACTTGGAGAAATATTTGAAGAGAGTTCAGGATGTTATTTATCTTTGTGCATCCTTATTTGAAAGTTGTAGAGATTTTTTTTGCGCTCTTTCTGAAAATGGTGGATGGCATTGGTTCTTTACATGTAAATCCATGGGTATTCTCGTGGGCTTGAGAATGGTTCTCAATCGTGCTAATTTTCATCTTCCCCAATGGCCCCTCCCACTCCATCCTCCTATCCTCTAAACACTGTTCCCTTCTGCTTGGAACTATGAAACCCTTCCTACAAAGCTTGAATGGAGGTCCTCCATAGAGTTTGACAAAAATCATAGAGGAAGCACTCAGAGTAAGAATAGTTGATTTCGATAAAGATAAAATTCTTATAAAAAAAAAAAAAATTCACTTCATCTCCATCCATGGGAATTGTGTCCATTCCATTGTCTTTGAAAAATTAAAGTTTATCTTCTAGGTTGAAGGACTACTAACAAGCGAGTAACTCTTGCCGTCTTGCTGAAGTTTGTCAGGCATGAAGACTCAGGCTGCTTAAATTGCCCTCTTATCCCTGCTTGAGAGAATAGGATTGGTTAGTCTTCTTTCTCCAAGCTGCTTGTGTCATTATCCAGAAAGTTATGGAACACCCCTCTCTCCTCCATTCTTCCCCTCCCGAAGCCTTCAGTATGTGCTTCTAGACGGTTCTTTGCTTTTATCTAACTGCCATTAATGTCAACTCTCCTTCACTAACCCTCTCTGACACCACTAAGCCTTAATCCTCTTTAATTCCAATGTCCTCTTTTTTGCTTGTATGTTAGTTGTTTGGAGGCACTTATTTCACAATGACTGGAACAAATTTAAAGAAGCTTTGCAAATTCCTTAGTCCCCTAGCATGCCTTTAACCCTTTCCACCCTTACAAGGCCATTTTATGACGTGAAAATGCAGACCAAGATTGCCTTCTCATTGTTCAGAAAGGTTGGAGAGCGTTGATGAATTTGAACATTCTTTTGAGTGTAGGAATGTCAACTAATACTCCTAACCAGCTGCATGCCTTATATGCCTTATAGAGACTGGATAAAAAGTTATGAAAATCCATCTTTATCTGTGGAACTTGGAGGCTTTTGAACACAGGTGAGGCGTATTTAGGCTTTGTGGATTATCCCAAAAAGAATTCTTAGAAAACTCAGTATTGTGGAAGGCTTAATCAAGCCTAAACATTACTTCATGAGCTTAATTGTACGAGAGGTTGTTCTCCATTATTTTTCTCGTATGGAGAAATTCTTTAATAAAGTGGATCCACATAAATTTTTTAACATTCTTGAGGGGATGACCCGTGAGTGCGTAGTAGCACTGGTATTTTAAATCCATTGGTAGCACCATATTCCAATTAAAGATGGAGAGGATGTATGCCCAGAAATCTCCAGCGTATGGGATATTGAGAAGAATGTAGCTTTGTGTTTCAGCATCCTTCTTGCAGAGGGCCACCATCAGGGGAGATGGATAACTTCGAATCCCCTATTGTCTATAGATATAATATTGAGGGTACTACTAACCACGTAGTTTTAAAATTTAATGCCCTCTAGGGCCTCCAACTTGCAACAAAGGTCAAAAATAGAGTTTATACCTTCCTAAACTATTATGGTATAGAAGAGGGGATCCAAAACATATCAAAAGATAATGAAAGGAAGTCTTTTTTTCTTCTTTCAGAAATATTTGAAGTTTAATACTTGTACGAGTATATTCACTTCGTCACTGTTAATGAATCCATATGGAAAATTATTTTAGATTTTTATGGTTCTAAACTGAGTGGAATACGTTTGTTTTTTGTGTAGGTACTTGTCTCTTGGTAATCTAAGGGATGCTAATCACATCATCGATGAGTTAAAGAAGAGAGAAGAAAGTGAGGGACTTGAGTTTCCTGATTCAGAATTGATGGAGTTCATCATGTATCTTTTGCTAACGTAAGGTCCATTTACTTTGTTTTGAATAAACTAGGCAACAATATATCTACTTGAGCAAACGTAATTTATGAATTGTGAAGAATGATGGTAATAAAATCAATTTATTGAGTGAAGACTAGGTGTTTCTTTATTTCTCTCTCTCTCTCTCTCTCTTTTTTTTTTTAATTTGATATCGTCTTTCCATTGCTTGAACCACTCGAATGGGAAATGGCTAAAGCGCCATCAAGTAGTGAAGGCAAATTAAAACTTTGGTAGTTTGGGAGTGTTTTGTCAATAATGTAAAAATTTTAATAGATGCTACAAATTAAAAAGTTTCTTTGTAATTTTCGAAAATACTTAAAGCCCCGTTTCTCTGGAAGGAGGCAGAAGCACTTTTGTTTTCTTTTTCCAAACATGTTAATATAAAGAGTGTTTCAATTAGAAAACGACTCCAAGAACTCCTAGACTGATTCAGTCTCAATAGCTGGTCAAATTTTCAAATCTTGTATTTTCTGGTTCTGTTCCCAGTATTGCAGTTTCTGGTAGATGCTTCTAGGAGGATTTATGATTTTTGGGCAGAACTCAAAATCTGCATTTGCAGGTTGCAGAGAGATGCTTTGCCACTTTTCAATATGCTGAGGGCAAATTACAAGCCAAGTATAGAGAGAGAACCTGCCCTGAATGAGGTGCAACTCCTGTTACTTGCCCAAACCTTTGATAAATCATCAATTGTTGAAATGTGCAATAATCTCACATCTCGAAATTTTTTTTTTAAATGAAGTTCTGGAGAAATTTAGTGGGAGTTAAATAATTGGATTTTAACTTTGAAAATATTTTGCTTCAGTTTCTTGATGAGATTGGAGAGAAGTTCTATGGAGTACGGCGCAGAAATCCCTTGCAAGGGATCTTCGGAGATTTCTTGAAGGTTATTTTCACTGTCTCATAATCCTTATCCATGGTTGAATTAAGGTTTAAGTCCTATTTTGTCTCATAATCTTTACCATGGTTGAATTTAGGTTTAAATCCTATTTTGGTTCCTAACTTTATGGCTGTTGTATTTTGCTTTTGAAGTTGGTTCCTAGACTC